GGTGGAAATGAGTCTGATCCCCCCGGTGTAGTATGTATCGCCTTTTTTATTTATTTTTAACAGCACTGACAAGCGGTAAGCTCTTCCTCCTCAACAGACACCGACTTGCACCAGGCCCACGGCACGTAAGCATGGCCCATGTTTGCAGAACTGCCATGCTGGCCAGTCCCGTTTCCACTGCTGTGACCTGGGGTCTCACACGAAGACTGACAGCAAGACGTCAGCCGGGGCTGCAGGCACCTGAAGGTTGGCTGAGGCTGGCAGGAGACCTCTCTCCACAGGGCTGCCGGGGTGTCCTTACAACACGGTGGCTGGCTGCCCCCAAACCAATGATGGAGGTGGGCGGCACACCCAGGTGGAAGCTCTGTCTTTTATGAAGTGGCCTTGGAAATCGTACAGCGTCGTTCTGTTCATCAGAAGGCAGTTACCAGTCTGGCAAGCATTCAAGGGGAAGAGAATTGCGCTTTATCTTTTGGGGGAAAAAAGTGTCAAATACTGCAACTTATTTAAAAACCTCTACGGTCTTCAAGAAACGACTAGCTTGTAAAAGCATGTACTAGGGGAGGGAGGGAGGGAGCAAGGGTGGGGGGCCCTGTATGGCTGGCAAAGTTTCTAAATGACCATCTACTTCTCAGACTGATCAGTGTCGAGCCTTCGAAACTTAGAAACAACAGGGAAAAACCAAAAGGCTCAGGAAACGTTCCCTTGATCCAAGCCGCCCACGGAATTCAGTTATTTTTTTTGTTTTTGTTTTTTTAAATGTCCTCCTATACAGCAGGGACAGTAAGACAAAGAGACAAACTCCCAAAGCCATTTTCACACGAAAGGACTTCCATGGAGATCATTTGTTTTCGTAATAAAGTTTCTGCCATCGCACCGTTTACTAATTAATGCTGATAGAGCTCGTGTGTAACAACAAGAAGGTATTTTAGGAGTAAGTGTCCCCACCGGTCTCTACCATCTTCAGAATCATCTGGGGGGGCGGGGGGGGTGAGGGGGGACTGAAGGGTTGGTCGTTTCAGACCAGAAAAAATAGAAATGCTTCTTAAATCTTTAAAGAACATCAGACGGGTTTCATGTCACTTAAGTACTGTGAGAAAACAAGAAAATTACGAAAACACATTGGGAAACAGATATCAGGGTTCGGCCTCTTGTGGCTTCTTTGGCCGAGGCCAAAACCCCTTGGATGGGAATGGCTTGGACTCCACGGAGCACGTCTCATGGAAAGACCCGCAGCGCCGCTGTTTTACTCATGCGGCTGTTTTTTAAGAATCAAAGGTCACAGTGCTGCCCACACACACAGCCGACCAAAAACCCGGGTGTGTCGCAGCCATTGGCGGCCGAAGTCATCCCATGGGTCACACCGCTGGGAAGGGTGTACACTGTCATCCGCGTGTTCACGCATATTCACAATGCGTGAGTACTTAACAGCCGTTCACGGAGAGCTTCCCAGGGACCTAGCCAGCCAACAAGGGGCAATTCAGTCCACACCTGGTGAGCCCCTGCCACAGGTGAGGTGGAAGGCAGGCGCAGAGCACCTGTAAACAGCAAAGTAGGAGTCGGCGGGCTCTCCTTGCGTTCCCTGCTGGTGCGGTGCGGCACCTGCCGACGGTGGTCCGGCTTCTGCCTTGTCATCTATACAGTGGGGGCAATGGAGCCCTCCCCCGGCGAGCACCCTGTCCTCCGGGAGGTACTCCCCTCAGTACCCTCTTCCTGCTACATCAGGTCTCTTGGTCATTGCCCTCCGCACCTGGCAGCTCCCCTCCACGGCACTTCCCAGCTCCTAATTCTAAACACGTTCTGGTCTGATGAACATTTCCCTCCCACTGGACTGTGAAGTTCACGGAGGCAGAGATCCTGTCTGGTTGGCTGCCCACTGCACCCCACATCCAGAACAGGAGCCTGTGACAGGTGCTCAGCACACAGCTGTCAAACAAACCAACAAATTCTGTTGACAAACACATGAAGTACAAAGATGGAAGACACGGGACCAGTCCAGTGAAACAGTCCTCTATTTTAGCTGCACGTGCAAGTCACCGGGGAGGGATGTCACTTTAATCCCAGCACCTGGGGCCCTGCTGTGGAACAATGCCAGGTGTGTGGGCCTGAGGGATCCCCGTTTTGTGTGTTCAGAGTTCTTCAGGTAATCCTAAAGAACAGCCAGGGTCGAGACTCCCTGGTCTGGTGCAAGGGGGACGGGTCAAGAACTGCAGTACGCTGGGATAGGCGTCCCCCTAGAGCAGCAACAGGCCTTCCTGCGGTGCTGGAAATGCCCTGTGTCTGCGCAGCCCAACACTGTAGAGCTGGTCACGTGTGGCTACTGAGCGCATGGCAGATGGCTACTGAGACCTAAGTTTTAATTTTTTATTTTAATGCATTCAAATGTGAAATGCCGCCATATGTGACTAGAATATCCGATAGCATAGACCTAGGTGAAGGACACAGGAGAATGAAGCCAGGTGCGGAGGGCAGGGTGGGAGGTGGCCAAAGCTCACGTGGCTGTGGCCCCCAACCCCAAGGAGAGGAACAGTCTGGCGAAGGAGATGGCAACTGAGCTGTGCTCACGGCCCCAGAACTCTCCACCTTGCACACACCCAGGAGCAACATCCCCTCCAGCCACATCCAGGACAGCTGTGACCAAGGAAACCTGTTTCAAGGACAGGCGAGGCACTCCCGGCCCCCCGGCCCCAGGTAGAAGAGCCTTGTGTGAGCTGCTGAACGAGGTGGCTGTGCGGCAAAGGGAGGAAGCGTGTCCTGGGCAGAGACACTTGGAATAGAAGCAGTCACATGGAGCCCCCCGCAGGGTCTCCCTTCTGAGGCCCCATAGGCCGAGGGCCTGAAGCACAAACCGTAGCATTGTGGAGAAGTGACCTGATTCCTGAGAACTACAATGGCTCAGGAAGCTCTTTATAACACCAGACTGGCCCGTGTTACTTGCAGAACGACGGACTCAGTACAGAGAAGGAAGCCATGCTATTGCTTTAGTCGCCATTCCCCCACCAGTGGGAATGGTGCCTACTGTGTGGCAGGTGGCTCGTTACGGGCCTTCCTTCCGACTTCACTTTGCCCAGACAACGCTCTGCAACTCAGGTATTATTTTCTCATTTTATAGCGAGGCATGTTGAGAGTCACAGAAGTTAAATAACTTACTTGGCTTTATAAGTGGTGACAAAGCTAGGATTCAAACTCAGGTCTACCCTGCCTTTCTTTTTTTTTTTACAAAGGCTGTGAGTATTCTATTATACAATACACTATTGTTTACTCAACAAATCCCCATTTATTTTCTATTTTCCCAAATCATAATCAATGCTTCAATGAGCCTACCTGTATATAAATTTTAAACAGACTTTTATTTGTGAGTAATGTACAAACATACATATAAAAAGGTATGTAAACCCTAAGTGCAGCATTTAATAAACTATCAGAGAGTGAACATAGCCACATACGCATCCCCCAAACCCAGAAACAGAGTAACACCAGCACCACAGAAGCCCCGTGTCACCTCCTGGTTCCACCCCTGGTTCCTCCTCCCCAGACGGCTAACACCCACCGAGGGCCGACCGCGCCGTGGGAGCTCATGAAAATGAGGCCGAGACAGAAGCTATAAATTGGGCATATAATTTAGGCCATGACTTAAAACGGCACTTGGTCACTATGTAACTAGACAACTATCATGTGTCTACCTTAATTAGAAGTCAAGTGTTTTATTGGATGTAGAGAAATGAGAGAGAGGTACCAAGGAACCGGCGTATGAAAAGTGTTAACAGGTACGATTACAGAGTGCCGCAGGCCTCCGGGCTGTGCAGGAAGCAGGAGACTGACTAGTCAGCTCGCCACTCGGAGAAGCCGGGACTGCCAGCTCCGCTAAGGAGAGGAAGGCCAGGAAGCATGGAGGGTGCAGTTTTGCTTTCTCCAAAGTTCCTGTCCATGCTATAATTTTATGGCCATCATGAAGATAAATACGAATAAAGTATAAATGCACGGCGCTTGCTACACTCTTGAGAGGTGTAGGCTCTTTGCAGACAGGAACCCGTTTTCCCAGGGGAGAAAATGAACGTTCAGAAAAGCGAAGAGACTGTGGGGGGCAGGGCGAGAAGGCCAACCTCCCCCTGCCCACCTTCGAAGCCTGGGCCCTTCCCTGTAGGTCCTGCCGCCTTCCTTCCCCCAGGTTTGCTCCTTTACAGACTAATGATTTCTTAAGAGACCTGACCTCTGGGGACGGGAGCTGGTACTGCAAGGATGACAAACGGCGTGGGGCAGAGACCTTGACACTTCTTTTCGGTTTGCAAGCCTCTCCTTCCCTGGGGCGCTGGAACCTAAGAGTGGTTCCCTGCTGTTTGTCTTAATGTGGTTTACTTCTTCTTACCCAGGACAACATGCCTGGTTTCCAAAACGACAGAGTGGCTGGACCGAAGTGAAACTGTTTAGTGACCTGGCCTGCCCCCGGCCAGGTTCGCCTGCCCAGGTCCCCACCCCACGTTGCGTGGCCTCTTCCCTCCAGCTCTCATCTCACCCAGGCCTGCCGGCAACCGTGATTTTCAAATGCCGACAGGCACACTCTAGACAGAAAAGGTCCTCAGGTGTTTAATGGAGGCCACTGAATTACAGGCTGACCAGCTTACACAGATATTTTAAATATCTCATACGTCACTTGTGGCAAAATCACCTATAATTCTACCAAGTATTTGAATTAAAAAAAAGTTTTTCAATGACAGTTGACATTTGATATTATATTCATTTCAGGTGTACAGTGTAGTGGTTAGACATTCTACTAGGTTCTGAATGTATAATACAACCCAGTGCAACTAATGTTTTCTTGTTACTTTGGAAATAGTACAGGGCTGGACTGACAGGAGCGGGGGGAGAAAAATTGAATTTCTTTGACCTACTGATTTTCCCATTTGGATCCAGTCTTCTATAAACGTAGCATCTTACCAAGTAACAGAGGAAACTGGAGACACTGTACAGGATTCACGTTATCTGCTTTGTCAGGTACTCACCTTGACCGGAATTGTATATTGCTTTCACAGACTTCTTCACCTTCTGCAAGGCTGTTCTATCTTGGTCTAGCGCCTAAAAGAGAAAAACAGAAGGGGGAAAAAGATGTTGAAAAACTTGGTTAAGTTAAAAAATAGGTATTCACTTGGAACTACATTAGTTCTGCCGAGTACCGCAGTAAGAGCAAACTGACGTCTTTATTAACAATGAGCCGTTTCAGAGGCTGGAAGTGCCACGGGCTGACTGGCTGTGTTTTCGGGATAAATGCAGTCATTCCACCAGCGCAGTGCTGAGGGAGGTGGGTAATGTGGTCCCCGGTCAGTCATCATCCTAAGCTATACACAGGAGAGAAGATAAAGACAAGAGGCCTAAGGAGTCCTGAGACGGCCGCCTCCTTCTCTAGGAGACGTCTCAAGTGGAGAAGGGAAAAAGGCACACTACACAACTCAATGACACAGACCCAGGGAACAAAGCTCGTCTTATCCTGGAAGGGTGATTTCAGCCAGAAAGAAAATACTTCAGGGTTTGTTAACAAGTAGGAGGGACCAGAAGAGCTTTTCATAACACTTCTAAATCTGAGGATCTCTTGTAGAGTTAAAAAAAATGTACGACTTAGTGACAGTTGCATTTTAAAATTCCGCTTACTAAAAAAAAAGCACAGCATGGAAAACGCTACTGTGATGCTGGAACTGGACCTTAAATGACACGATCAACCAAGACATCAGAGGGGGCGGGAGTGGGGGGGCCCAGGGGTCTGTCACTGCCGTCCTTAATGCAGGTGCTAAATACACAATTGCATTCATTCCTCTTGCGCAAACTGTACACTGTTTGCATAAGGGACATTACACTCAAAACCAAGTTCTAAAAAAGGCTGTATTCAGCCCAGATATACACCCATGGCACCCCTCCCTGCTTGCTCAAGACCACCCGTGACGCACCTGCTGGAAACCCCTGGACGCGGCGTCAGGGTTAGGGAGGCACCAGCAGTAACAGCAACAACAACAACAAGCTTGTACACGTCAGACTTAAACACAGTAAATGCGCACGTGTAACCAGTACATCATCTACATCTCGAAGCTTCAGATGAGAAGACCGAAGCCCCCTGAGGTTAGGCACTCCTCTCCCCGATGGTCGCACGCAGAGGTGAAAGGGGCGAATGATAGATATGGCATCAGGTCCCCCTTTCTCCTGGGAAACGGTCGTCAACGCCACCGCAAACTCATGGTTCGGTCGGGTGCTGCCCCCTCCTCCGACTCCTGTTCTCTGGACTCCGATGGCTGGCCGGGTGGGCACGTGACCCACACCGGGCTCAAGCTCCTTCCTAGGACTTCTGGGCTTAGGGAGGAGGTTACAACGTGCACTGTCCATCTGGGTAGACGGGCCTGCGGCCCAGCGGCGGTCACCTTTCCTGACGTGTGAAAGAGCCCGATGGGGCAGGGCGACGTTACCAGGGACAAGGGTGGGCAGGGTCCTGGTGGCATCTGGGCCCTTGCTTCCAGCTGCCCCCAGGGCACAGGTCACTGCTAACCTCCCCGCAGACTGAGTACCTGAGACAGCAACCACGGGTACACGGTTCTACGCTAGCCGAAGTTGGGATTCCGTCACTTGTAACCCCAAGAACTAACGTTTCCTGAGTGAGCACTTACTACACGCGACAGAGGCTTGGTCCAGAAGACATGCCACGTAGATAAAAAATATATGCTTTCGTTATCTTTTCTCTTTACGCTGCATCGTCACAAAACCCCTGCATTTTTCAGACAAGGAAACAGGGCAGGATGACTCCAATAAATATTTGTAGGGAGGAAGGGAGGAAGGAAGGTAAAGATGTACTACCTCGCCCAAAGTCGCAGACCCAGAAAAGTGCTCAGGTCACACTTTGCGGTAATGGTCAAATCTTAAGTCTAATGGGAAGCTGGCAGAAAACCCTGTTTTCAAACGGCAAGTCTAACACTATTTCCACATTACATCACATCTGTGTCCTACCCGTGCCTCTATTTAATTTACTTAAATCCGTTCATCTTTTCTGTGTATATACATTATAAAGAGCCACCATAAATGGATTAACCAGGATCACTAACCATGAACAGCAGACACCCTAAAAATGACTACGTATCTCTAACGATATAAATGCTGATCAAATCATGTCACAGCACACCAGGGAGCCCGCATGTTACACTGAAGCAAACCGTGTTATCTATGAGAAGGTTTCAGGGAAGAGACCATGTTGGAGTGCTTTCAAAGATCTGAGATTGGTACTCCAGAAAAAAAGAGGGGAGATAATAACATTTTAACAAATGCTTATTGTTTTTTATTTTTTATTTATTTTTAGAAAGGGAAGGGAGGGAGATATATATATATATAGAGAGAGAGAAACATCAATGTGCGGTTGCTGGGGGTCATGGCCTGCAACCCAGGCATGTACCCTGGCTGGGAATCGAACCTGCGACACTTTGGTTCCCAGCCTGCGCTCAATCCACTGAGCTACACCAGCCAGGGCAACAAACGCTTATTGTTAACCATCAAGAGTGCCAAGGTTCACCTAGGTTTTCTCAACTCTCACGAAACCCCCTGAAACAAGGACTATGATCAAGTTCATCTGCTGAGATGGGGACACAGGCTTCGACAGTCTGCCTTGCCCAGGGCGGCAGAGCCGCGGCCTGACAGCTGAACCTGAGCTCCTGACCTCGACCCAGCCCCGTGCGGCACCGGCACCTGCGATGAACCGGACTGGAGAGAGAGAGTCTCATCTGAAGCGGGGACCATCACCGGCTCTCAGAGACAGATGCGGGATGAAAATTCACCAGACACTGAGGTTGCCAGGGGTGCGTGAGGGGAAGAGAGAAATGCAAATGTGCGGATGAGCACAGATTTACGAGATCAAACCCAATCCTTCGGTGGCCTGCTTTTGTGGCAGCAACATTTAAAAATAACCCCAATTGTCACCACTTCTTTTATATATATACATTATGGCGGGTTTTTTCCCCTGATGAAAAACCCTGGGCCTCAGAGACGTAAAGGAGCTGCCAAGTGTCAGCCATCAAGTAAGAGAAGAAGATCCCAACTCTGCGGTTCCAACCACGTCATGTACCCATTCCAGAAGGCAGGCCCACGTCTGCCCTGGACCGCCCCTCAACTGTTCTTGAGAAAGGAGGGGAGGGGATCGGCCTCTGGAAGAGAAGAGCCTGTCGGTTCAGCTCTGGGGAGGGGCGGTCACACCAGGATGGGTCTACGGGGACGCAACGGACGGGCACCAGTGTCCACACACTGTTCAAGTTGCTGACTGTGAATGACAAAGGGCTGTGGGGGAGTTCGGCCGTGACATTTCATGAGACATTTTATGAGCTACCTGCTACCCTCCTTTTCTTCCCTGGGAACAGTCTCAGAATTGATGTTGCATTTTTACCAACTCATCTATAAACTAATAGGGTGTCAAGTTCACATACTTACTTTCAAAGGTTATTAGAAACACCCGCATTTGACAGCTCCAGTCACACTTAAGGCTGGGCGACACTTCTCTTTGTGCACTCTGGTATTTGGCCACGGGCAAAAGAAGCCAAGGAGAACGCCCTTCCGCGTGCAGGAGAGCCCGGGGACACTGTCACTCAGTCAGACAGGACCCCCTCCAGGAACACGCGTGTCTAAACGTGCAGCGAAGCACCACCCCCCTGGCTGCCACACAAGCAACACCCGCAGTGACAGCCTTCGAAATGTCGTGTACGTAAACTTCCACAGGGGCTAAGGGAAAAGTGGCATTAGATCTCACAGCCCACTAAAGGTATGTTATGACGGCTGAGCAATTCAAAAGGGTGTGTGTGTGTGTGTGTGAGAGAGAGACAGACAGACAGACAGACACAGAGAGGAGGGGGATGAATTAACAAACAAATCAAGGAGAAGATGCTTATCTCTAATAATAGAATCGGGTTATCCCTATCTAAAACTTTGCAAGACAAAGACGGCACATTCTCTCCACCACTAAAGAGCAGAGACAGTAACCTGGAAACGCACTCCGGCCGGGACAAGGGCACCCCTGACTTTTACTTCACGCACAGTCCTGACGAGTCTGGGCCCCTGAACACACGGAAAAGACAGGCTGTGGAGGGAGGGACTGCCGGAGAGACCACCACGCCGACAGAGGCATTACGTGAGAGCTGGCGGCCAAAGGAGTCAGGGCAACAGGGCAACGACACAGACAGACAGAAGGGTGAGTGATTCCTTAAGCGCCCGAGGCCGAGATGTTCCAGGGGCGCGCAGGAGTCCAGCCCTGCTCGCTCCCACCCCAGGGCACTCGCACCAGCTGCTCCTCTGCCGGGCACTCCCTTCCCCAGGCTCTTCGGATGACCAGCCCTTTCTCCCTAGGGGCACAGGCCTCAGACGCAAAGTCCCTTCCCGCGAGAGGCCTTCCACCATCCACCTAGAGCAGCACACTCGCAACCCACTTTCGCGATCCTTATCTCCCTCCACTCCCGTGGCCTGTTTGCGGCTGAATTCCCATCTCCGGTGCCTAGCGGACAGACAGATGGTAGATGCTCAAGAATGCTTAGGAAATGAAGTAACAAATATACTGACTAACGAATTCTTCAGTATGCTCAGCTCCAGAAAACAGGAAAGTATGCCAAATAAGCTCTCCCTTGAAAATGGTTAAATAAAGTAAGTTCTGAATGCAAAAAAACCACACATCTGGCTCTCTGTAATTAATTCTTCCCTAATGTTTTTGCATCGCCAAAGTGTGAATGTAAGTATAAACTCTTCGATGGCATAGGCTGAACTTACGCACTTTGTTAGTTCTGTACCTTAAAATAGTTATTCCAACACCTGTCTTAAAAAACATTTTATTGAAATATAATACTTATATTAAATAAGCAATGACAATACTATTGTTACTATTCATTAAGATGTTCAAGGTTAGAACTACTGTCTAAGTCTACAGCGCCTTTGTTTCAATACATATTCAAGTGGGAAAAGCTGCTCTTATTCTGGGTAGATGTGATTTCTGAAAATAAGCCTAAGTCTTAGGAGCTGAATCCTATGCGCACACTTATGGAGAAAGGAAGCCGTGGATAACAATAAGGTAACAG